TGCCCAGTGAGCTCCCAGATGTGGGTGGCTTCTCTCTCGTCCCTGTATGAGGAACTAGAGCTCGACAGATTGGAGTTTACCCCACTTCCTGGATTCGAACTGCCAACCTGTCGGTCGACCAGTCCTGCCGGCACAAGGGTTTAACCCATTGCGTTACCAGAGCTCCCAGATTGATGTGGTTACTTGGATGAATGAAATGATGCGCAGAGGTATGGAAACACTACTTTTTGGAGAAGACATACCGATGGGGGGTGCTGAAGGGATAACAACATCGGCGACGTTTCGGTTGTTTCCGTGAAGCAATCCGGAGAATCTGCGGAACCACAAGAAACCAGGGATGAGCTGCATGTTAGGCACTCACTACACATCCCAAACTACCCTTTATTGTGGTCCTCGATTTCGCTCGCCTTTTACCTCTTCATCATCCCGCACGCCTGGATGGGGCTGTGGCAGCTTTTCGTGGGAGTCACTCTGTCATTGGCAGGCGTCGCTCTGTCATAATAGTTTTCGTAACCAATGGCCGCTAAATTAGGAACAAGAAAGGGATGTAAAAATAATCTGATACAACTTCTTCGCGCACCATACAAAATCCAGAAAGGTTGCAAATCCTGACGTGGTTTTGTAAAGCCTTGTGTCCATTCTATACAATTTTCCTGCACTTTGAATCCAGTCTGCAGCAATTAAAAGCTGCAGAGCAAGGAGATAATCAAATCCAGGACGTTTTAAAAGCAGGAAAATATCGGGTAAATTGGGACAGTTCTCATTAAATCAGGAGAGTTGTGGATATGCTTTTCAGTGTGCTTTTCAATATGGAGATGAATATCGGCAACACAAGAAAACATCCTTTGTGTTTGATTACCTGGAGGCTCCGTTCCCGTCATCTTGCTCTGAACAAAGCAATCCATATCCGAGTCTATATTGCATTTCTCCAGGCTCAGTCGGACCTCTTCATATAACTACAGAAAGGGGGAAAAGATGCTAATATTGGATATTTTTGATGTGAGCCATCTTAGATCTTCCACAGATAAAAGGTTTTTGAGGACATGGACAAAGTTTATTATTTGTTTTGGTGGGACATCCTGCAGCCAATTTAGTTAATAGTTTTTCAATGAATGTCTCATGGAGTCTCAACCCATTCTACAGAGTTTGTGGCAGCCACAAAAACAAAGTTTCTGGAGTAGAACAACTACTTTCAAAGAAAGGACCGCACAATTAAACAGGAAATAATGCTTTCAAACTAGGAACAGAAATGCTTTCCTGTTTTGTTATATAGGTAAAGGTGTTCTGCCTGACGTTAAGCCCAGTTGTGTCCGACTCTGAGGCTTGGTGCTCATCTCCATTTCTAAGCAGAAGAGCTGGCGTTATTATTATTATTATTATTATATTATTATTATTATTAACTTTATTTGTACCCCGCTACCATCTCCCCAAGGGACTCGGAGCGGCTTACATGGGGCCAAGCCCAGCCAACATAATACAGCAATAAAATCAAAGCATATACAACAGACAACAACAACATTATCAAAATGACAATAATAATAATAATAATAATAATAATAATAATAATATAATTCCAATATGAATGCACTGCAGAACCTAGAGATTTTTAGGGAAACATTTTTTAATAAAATCTGTCCATAATCAAATGTGCAAAAGCCAAAACCACACATGTAGAGGGACGACTGTAGAACGTGTGGCCTTACCTCGTCATCCTTGACGCACTGCGTGGACAGCTGGTTGCAATGGACCCACAAGGAGTTCCTCAGGATGGTGATCCGGTCGCATTCTTGGAGTTGGAAGGCCTGCGATCAGGAAAGACGAGGAAAGGATGAGGTAGAAATGTTTTCCTCAAAAATACATCCTGCAAAAGACCAGACGTGCGCTGGAAGAGACAGAGCCGAGCTCTATGGTTCAAGGATGCTGTTCTCTATTGAGCTCGGTTCTGTCCCTATTAACTCCATGGTGGAACACCTTTATAACTGGGACTTCCACCCTTCAAAACTAGCACGAAGGCATCTCTCCACCTTGCAAGCAAGAGCGCCCACGCAGAGTATGCAGCAGAAGCAGCACAAAAGAGCTGGAGGTCTTTATCTATAGGGAATTGCAGAGCAATGCTTCTCAATGGCTAAATGGACATGTTCCAGTAGCATTATCTCCTAATGTTTTGCCTGCACCTGTGGCTGGTGTTCTCAGAGGTCTGTTGGAAGTGAGGCAAGTGGAGTGTGTATCTATCTGTGGAATAATGTCCAGGACGTGAGAAAGAACCCTTGTCAGTTTAAAGCAAGTGTGAATGTTGCAGTTAGCAAGCTTGAATAGCATTGAGTTGCCTTGAAGCCAAAGTCAATGAATTAGGATCAGATGGATAAATGCGGTTTCTCCCACCCTGGACATTACACACACACACACACTTGTGTGTGTGTGTGTGTGTGTGTGTATACACATACATACATACTTACATACACATACATATGTATATACATATATATGTATATACATACATACATACATACATACATACAGATATATGCACACACACACACACATGAATTAGGATCAGATGGATAAATGCTGTTTCTCCCACCCTGAACATTCCACACACACACATTCCACACACACACACACACACACACACACATATATATACATACACATACACATATGAATTAGGATCAGATGGATAAATGCCGTTTCTCCCACCCTGGACAGTACACACATACATACATACATACGTATATACATATATATGTATATACATACATACAGATATATACACACACACACACACATGAATAAGGATCAGATGGATAAATGCTGTTTCTCCCACCCTGGACATTACACACACATACACACACACACACACACACACACACGCATATATATATATATATATATATATATATATATATATATATATATACACACACACACACATACACACACACACACATACAAATTAGGATCAGATGGATAAATGCCGTTTCTCCCACCCTGGACAGTACACACATACATACATACACATACATACGTATATACATATATATGTATATACATACACATACACACACACACACACATGAATTAGGATCAGATGGATAAATGCTGTTTCTCCCACTCTGGACATTCCACACACACACACACAGATTTGTGTACATTCACATGCATACATACATACATATATACATATATATGCACACATGAATTAGGATCAGATAGATAAATGCTGTTTCTCCCACCCTGGACATTACACACACACGTGTGTGTGTGTGTGTGTATACACATACATACATACATACATACTTACATACACATACACACACATCCATATATACATGCTCTTTTCCCACCCTGGGCATTCCCCACACACACACACACACATGTTCTTTCTCCCACCCTGGATATTCCACACACACACACACACATACATACACACACACAAACACACACACACTCGCTTCATTGCCAATGCGAACAAACCTCTGAAGATGCCATTAGTCACATGCAGGCAAAACGTCAGGAGATAATGCTTCTGGAACATGTCCATACAGCATGAAAAACAGCAACCCAGTGATTCTGGCCATGAAAGCCTTCATCAATACAATACTTATTAAGTTATCCAATGTGAAGACTTTCGTTTTCTCCTCCAATGGACCAGGGTCTAGCGATGCCGTATGTATACCCACTGACCAGTATCTGCTATCCCATGGACCATAAGTAGTCCACCGTGTTGAGTAATGTTATTGTAGACCACTAAATGGCACATTTCAGATCATGTGTGGATTTGTTGTGCCCACCATTTGCAGGACTACAACTCTCATCAGCAGATTCAACCGTGAGGGATGGTGGGAGCTGTAGTTGGTGACATTTGGAGTGACACAAGTTGTCCGCAAAGGACAAAGTATGTACTGTTCATTCAGATGTAGGTTGGGAGTAGTTTGTAGCATTCCCCGCCATTGGCCATGTTGACTAGGACTGGTGGAAGTTGTATGTCAACGCCAACAAGAGATTCCCATCCACTGTAAGCATTAAAGCTCCTAAGAAAGGCATGTTACCAGATGACAACGACTGACCTCGCACGTGCTGATGTGTTCCTGCTCCCAAGTAACTCTCGCCTGATCCAACAGCTCTATGTTCTGCTTGTAGACTCTTTCTGCGGGGATAAATAGGCACAAATGGAAGGTGTTCATCCTTTGTGTACCAAGTTAGTTCCAGTCCATGATGGAAGTTGTAGTTTGCCCTGCATCCAGACAGTGACAATGGACCTGGACCACATTTGGTACATATAATCCTCATGACTAACATACTAGAGATGTTTGAGGGGAAATGATTTGCTTTATAGGAGTTGTAGTTCAGAACTCAACTGGCGATGGACCTGGACCACTCTTGGCACACAGAACCCCCAACGGAACATACTGGAGCAGTTTTGGGGGAATTGACGTTGCTTTCTGGGACTTGTAGTTCACCTACATATGGAGACACTTCCATCGTAGTGGGAGTTGTAGTCCATCTTGCAGCCAGAGAGCACACTGAACCCCACCGATGATGCATCTGGGGCAAACACATGCCCAACAAGACCAATTGATGGTGTTTGATGGGGTTGACCTGGCATGATGTGAGTTGGAGTTCACCCACTGTTGGAGCTCAGCCTGTGATTGTGTTTCAAGATCAGGGTGCTTTGGATGTGGGGAGTGATGTCAATGAGTTTCAAGATGAGTTTCAAGATGAAAATGGTTTGGTAAGTGATACTGATGCAGAGAATGACCGGGAGATCCCTGTGCAAAGCGTAGTTTCCCATGAGAATGTCCTTGAGGGGTGTGAGGATGATGGTGTGCTTTCTGAATTGTTACCAGAGAGTTTCCATGATAGAGAACATGAAAACAGCTCGGCATCTGGCCCAGCTGCAGAAATTAATGAGCAAATAGATAGACGAGAGATCAGTCAGAACAGGAGAGCCGAACAGTGGCTTCAGCGTTCTGCCAGGCTCCGAGAGAAAAAGATAAGAACTCAGCTAAAGCACAACCAATTTCTGAGCGCTAGACACATAGCGTAATAAGAAGATAAAAGTCTCAAGTACAGGATATGTAGTCAGATGAAGCATCGTTTGGAATGAAGTCAAGATCCCGTCCTTGTTTCATGGAAGCTTTGCTTGGAAAATTCACGTTTTAAGTGCCTTTGTTTCATGGTTTTGATTCTTGGATTCTATGCTTTTATATTCATGCCTTGGATTCATGTTTCCTGATTTCTTGTATTTTATTTGGGAAGTGTTGACTTCGTTTTTATGGACTTTGCTGAACTATTACTCTGTACTACTTTGCTCCTGTTTATCTTCCTACCTAATTGGATTTACCTATTTCTTAAAAGTGTTTTTTTTTACTTTTCTGCTTTTTAATTATCTTCAATAGARTCATGTTTTCTGATTTCTTGCATTTTATTTGGGAAGTGCTGACTTTGTTTCTATGGACTTTGTTGGTCTATTACCCTGGACTAKTTTGCTCCTGTTTATCTTCCTACCTAATTGGATTTACCTATTTCTTTAAAGTTTTTTTTTACTTTACTGCTTTTTAATTATCTTCCATAGATTCATGTTTCCTGATTTCTTGCGTTATATTTGGGAAGTGTTGACTTTGTTTCTATGGACTTTGCTGGACTATTACCCTGGACTACTTTGCTCCTGTTTATCTTCCTACCTAATTGGATTTACCTATTTCTTTAAAGTTTTTTTTTTTACTTTACTGCTTTTTAATTATCTTCAATAGATTCATGTTTCCTGATTTCTTGCATTTGCTGGTGTATTACCCTGGACTACTTTGCTCCTGTTTATCTTCCTACCTAATTGGATTTACCTATTTCTTTAAAGTGTTTTTTTACTTTACTGCTTTTTAATTATCTTCAATAGATTCATGTTTTCTGATTTCTTGCATTTTATTTGGGAAGTGTTGACTTTGTTTCTATGGACTGTGCTGGTCTATTACCCTGGACTACTTTGCTCCTGTTTATCTTCCTACCTAATTAGATTTACCTATTTCTTTAAAGTGTTTTTTACTTTACTGCTTTTTAAATTTTTAATTGTTTCCCATCCAATGGTGTGGTGTTTAAAGTCAGAGGGCTTTTCCTGTCCTGGAGTGCAACATCCCACAACCTTATGCATTTTCTTAATGGGACCATTCATAAAATAAACAAAATAACCAGGTTTCATCGGGTAGTCAAGTCAGTGTCTATCTATCTCTCTCCAATCTCATTCCTATCCAGAGTTGGATCTTTCCTTCAACAAACTTCCATTTCATTGCCATTAGAAAGAGTACCTGCTTCATTGGCGGCTTCTTTGCATTGCTTCGCTTTGGTCTGGCTCTGAAATACAAAACATATTCACTAGTGTTAAAGGGCAGAGGATATCGTGTCCAATTTTGAGCACTTCAATTGAAGGAGATGTTGATGTGCCCAAGGGAAGGTGACTCAAATGATCAAGGGTCTGGAGAACAAGCCCTATGAGGAGCGGCTTAAAGATTTGGGCATGTTTAGCCTGAAGAAGAGAAGGCTGAAAGGAGACATGATAGCCATGCATAAATATGTGAGAGGAAGTCATAGGGGGGAGGGAGTAAGCTTGTTTTCTGCTGCCCTGAATGAAGACTAGGATGTGGAACAATGGCTTCAAACTACAAGAAAGGAGATTCCACCTGAACATTAGGAAGAACTTCCTGACTGTGAGAGCCGTTCAGCAGTGGAACTCTCTGCCCCGGAGTGTGGTGGAGGCTCCTTCATTGGAGACTTTGAAGCAGAGGCTGGATGGCCATCTGTCAGGGGTGCTTTGAATGCGATTGTCCTTCTTCTTGGCAGAATGGGGTTGGATTGGATAGCCCACAAGGTCTCTTCCAACTCTATCCCCATGAAAGTGAAAAGCCATTTGAAACGGAGATATTCGAATACCTTTTCCGTTTGCTTCTGGTTTCCGGCGGCACTGATCTTTTCAAAGGCTCCTTCGGCTTCGTCGGCATCTTTGCATTTCTGGTCGTAATTCTTCTTAGACTGCAAGCAGAGTTATGAATGCAAAAATGAGGGCAAGAAAAGGGAAAGGCAGTGGATGCATTGCAAGCAAAGTGCATTTTAACATGCATTTTCCAGAAATTAAAAGAACATTTTAGAATGTGATTTCAATCTTGAACTTTTCAAGGAAATATCCAAATTATCCATAAATTCTAGATTAGACCCTCATAGTGGTGCAAAAGGATTTGAGGCAATCATAAAATTATTATTATTTTAGTTTGGTTGCATTCTGCAAGTTGCTTCTGATGTGAGAAAATCACCTATCTACAAAGATGTTGCCTAGGGGATGCTCGGATGTGTTACTATTCTTCCTCTTAGAGTTTCATCTATGCTGACGATCGTGCCATCACCGCTCAAGCAAGCAGCTTTGAAATAATTGAACAAAAGATCTCCGAAGTTTTCGGTCAGTGGTTCTGAACCTGTGGGTCCCAAAATGTTTTGGCCTACAACTCCCAGAAATCCCAGCCAGTTTATTAGCTGTTAGGATTTCTGGGGAGTTGAAGACCAAAACATCTGGGGACCCACAGGTTGAGAAGCACTGCTTTAGGTGTGCTCTCTTCTGGCCCATCTTCACTCATTTCCTTATCTTCTGTTGCTGCTTCTGACTCAATTCCTTATCTGCTGTTGCTACTTCTGACATGTTATGGCTGATCCACAACATGTATAATAATGGTGATAATAATAATACAACTACCAATCTTGCCAAAGTGAAGATGACATTTCTGAGTGGCACGCAAGCCGTTCTCAATACAGAATGAATTACACTTCGGATATCAACGCCTTAAATCAAGAAATAGCTTTCTAAGATCTACAGAGACACTCGCAGGAACACCTCAGCAAGCGAGAGTCCAAAAGTGGCAGGCTAAAACCCAGAAGCTTAATCAGTGGCCAATACTGGATGAGAGACTTCCTTCTGACCCATCTTCACTCGATTCCTTATCTGCTGTGGCCACTTCTGACTCAATTTCTTATCTGCTGTTGCTACTTCTGAGATGTTGTGGCTGATCCACAATATGTATAATAAGTGGCCAGCTTATGGTCAAACGACATTGAGTACAATGCCAAGCTTTTAACTTTGTTTGTGGTTTCTGTATGCATTATAACTGCATTCGCAATTTGCTTCTGACATGATAAATAAATAAGTATTACTCCTGACATACCTCCATGGTCTTCTTATATATTGAAAGCTTGTTCTTGTGCCCATCTTCACTCAAATCCTGGCCCATCTTCACTTGATTCCTTATCTACTGTTGCTACTTCTGACTCGATTCCTTATCTGCTGTTGCTACTTCTGACTCGATTCCTTATCTGCTACTTCTGACATGTTGTGGCTGATCCACATGTATAATAATGACAACAATAATAATAATACAACTACCAATCTTGCCAAAGTGAAGATGACTTTGTGTTACTCGTGACATACCTCCATAGTCTTTTTATACATTGAAAGCTTGTTCTTGTGCCCATCTTCACTCGATTCCTGGCCCATCTTCACTCAATTCCTTATCTACTGTTGCTACTTCTGACTCGAATCCTTATCTGCTGTTGCTACTTCTGACTCGATTCCTTAGCTGCTGTTGCTACTTCTGACATGTTGTGGCTGATCCACAACATGTATAATAGTGACAATAATAACAATACAACTACCAATCTTGCCAAAGTGAAGATGACTTTGTGTTACTCGTGACATACCTCCATGGTCTTTTTATACATTGAAAGCTTGTTATTCTACCCATCTTCACTCGATTCCTGACCCATCTTCACTCAATTCCTTATCTGCTGTTGCTACTTCTGACATGTTGTGGCTGATCCACAACATGTGTAATAATGACAATAATAACAATACAGCTACCAGTCTTGCCAAAGTGAAGATGACTTTGTGTTACTCGTGACATACCTCCATGGTCCTTTTATACATTGAAAGCTTGTTCTTGTGCCCATCTTCACTCAATTCCTTATCTGCTGTTGCTACTTCTGACTCAATTCCTTATCTGCTGTTGCTACTTCTGGCATGTTGTGGCTGAACATGTATAATAATGACAATAATAATAATACAACTACCAATCTTGCCAAAGTGAAGATGACTTTGTGTTACTCGTGACATACCTCCATGGTCCTTTTATACATTGAAAGCTTGTTCTTGTGCCCATCTTCACTCAATTCCTTATCTGCTGTTGCTACTTCTGACTCAATTCCTTATCTGCTGTTGCTACTTCTGGCATGTTGTGGCTGAACATGTATAATAATGACAATAATAATAATACAGCTACCAGTCTTGCCAAAGTGAAGATGACTTTGTGTTACTCGTGACATACCTCCATGGTCCTTTTATACATTGAAAGCTTGTTCTTGTGCCCATCTTCACTCAATTCCTTATCTGCTGTTGCTACTTCTGACTCAATTCCTTATCTGCTGTTGCTACTTCTGGCATGTTGTGGCTGAACATGTATAATAATGACAATAATAATAATACAACTACCAATCTTGCCAAAGTGAAGATGACTTTGTGTTACTCGTGACATACCTCCATGGTCTTCTTATACATCGAAAGCTTGTTCTTCTGCGCCCGTTCCATTGTGCCTTCATACTGTAGAAACACAGGATTTGCATCCTATTATTAGTAGTATTTTTATTATTATTATATTGAGGTTCAAATATATTATGAGTCGCCAATAGGCTGAGAAAGGCAGTATACAAGTATAGTAAATAAATAAATATTAAAAACCATGCATGTCAATTTAAAAAATCATAGTTTGGGCTGTGGAAGAAGTCAGAGAACAGAAAATAATATTTCTGAGAATGCCCTGCGCTGTCTTGCTTCATTACCAAGACGTACCATAGGGTTGCATCTATACTGTAGGGTTAGCACAGTTTGGGACCACTTGAACGGCCATGGCTCAATGCTACGGGATCCTGGGAGTTGTAGTTTTGCAAAAGTCTTGCCTTCCAATGCCTTTGCTTACCTTTTTCCTTTGCTCCTTCTGCCTTTCCCTGAATTCCTCCAGAGCCTTCACTTCCTCCTTGAGCATCAAGGCCAGCTGGAGGTGCAGATTCCCGACACTCTCGATTTCTGGAAAATATCCCAAAACCGTTCTTGGTTAGTGTTCTCTGGATAAAGAATCCTGGTACCTCTCCAAACTACAAATCCCAAGCTCCCATAGCATTGAGCCATGGGAGTTAAAGTGGGGTCCAACTGCATTCATTCTACAGCAGGCATGGGCAAACTTTGGTCCTCCAGGTGTTTTGGACTACAACTCCTACAATTCCTAACAGCCTACCTGAGGGCCAAAGTTTGCCCGTGCCTGTTCTACAGTGTGGATGCACCCTTGGAGAGGATTCAAACCCTCATCTCCAGTCATAGCCCATAGGGATAATAATAATAATAATAATAATAATAATAATAATAATAATATAACAACAACAACAATAATTGCTGCTGGCTGATCCAATACAACAACCAGCAAAGTGATCTTGTCTGCTGTGGACTCATCTTATTGTGTTTCTAATAATAATAATAATAATAATAATAATAATAATA